TTTGGTATTAGTGAAGAAACACGATGTTGATAATAATTTGTCAGCTCTGGGTACACATAACAACACTTACTGTCTTCATGATATTTGACTTGGCCCACCTTTGTGCCTTTTGGAATCCTTTGGATTGCGGTTGTTGTGTTCAATAACGTTAGAGTTGTAACATTGTTGTCATCGATTAGTAATATGGCATGTGGTGCACGAATGTGCTGTTTGTGTAGCCACTTTGATGATGGAGTGAATATTGTACCGATATTCATATCGTTTAATTGTATATGTATCATTTTCTCATACGCGTCGTTCTCTTGTTCATCGCTTATCACTCTTATACATATCGTCCTCTTGCTCATCGCTTATCACTCTTATACAGATCGTCCTCTTACTTATCATCCTTAAACATATCATCCTCACATATATTGAGCGCTAATATACTACGATAGTGTGCGTAGGTACCTTCTTCTTCTCTCTTTCGTCCTTTCCGCTTACTCTTGTTATCATATCGCTATCTTCCTTTTTCTTTCCTTTCCTTTCCGTTCTTTCGCTTTCTTTTCAGATGTGAGAGATAGCTATGGATCGTCTCGTGTTCTCCTCCCTCTCGAGAGGGAGAAACAATTACACCTGTCGTCCTTTTTTTTTCTTCTTGACGTATCAATGTACGTTTAGGCCACAGCTGTTTCATGTGTACGTAATGTCCATAATGACTAAGGAAGGCCATCCTTGACAATTGTATCTATCAGTCGTGTTAACCTGAAATGACAGGGATATGTCACCTTTGTCAATCTGAGATGACAATTGTATACGTTATTCACGTAAATCAGCCTTGACAATTGTGTACGTATTCATGTAACTCTGCGATGACAACTTTATATGTGATTCGTGTCTCTCGTCGCTCACGGTAGAACAAGGTTTGAATGTCCTCTAGAGATGACAGTACATGCGACAATCGTTGTACCGTTTACATAAGTCGTGTTTAGATATGGTTCATATGTCACCTTTAGTCATTAGTGAGAAGGACGAGCGAGGAGTATATAAGGCAGTGAAACACACACAGATTTAGGCCATTTTCTCATCTCAGAACATTTCTTAGATAATTCTCTCCACTGAGCAGTTTCCTCACGGAGCATATTCCGAGTTAGTTCAACATCGAAAGTCTGTGGACATTTATTATCTTCTACGTAACGTTATATAGTGGTGTACTGTGGTCATCGTGTCCAAGTGTTCTTTATCCTTTCAATATTCAAGCGTGTTTCTCATTATATTTAATTGTATGTGTGGTGTTCTTATCTTCAAGTCAATAAAGATTTGTCAATTAGATGTTCACTCTCACCTTCTTATCACACACAAACAATTATATTTGGTTCTACATTTTCCTACATTAATACGAACAAATATAGTTAGGCCCCTCGAATAATAACTATAGTTTGTTCAAGCACCATTTATATATTTCGTTACAAATATGACTGACATTGATGGAGCCGCTGTTGTTGCTTGAATAATCTTTGCAGAATGGTGGTATACAGACTTCATTTAATGTTTTGACATTGAACACTTGTTGCTTGTTCACATGTTGGTTGAATTTGATCGTAGTTTGTTGTCGTTTAGTTTGTAGGGTGAGACGTTTGGAACCGTAATGAATGTGTACATGATGTAAAACGCAAAAGTCTCCGCCCAGTAATAAATCGGTACATAAGTTTTCGACAATAAACGTGCTCACTTTTGTTTCCACATGGTTAATTATAATAGGTAAAACGATCATACCAGATGTATGTAGTTGACTATTGTTGGCCGTTGTACAAGATATCTTTGTCGAGTAAATGTATTGATTGATGTTGAGCTTTTTCAAGTATTCTGCGTTAATGGCCGATATGGTTGAGCCAGTATCTACCATAGTTTTTGTTTCGATATTGTTTACTAGTACTTTAATATGTATCAATGACGATGGATTTTTGATACGATGGGTGACACTACCATCAGGTGGCACCCGTATTAGTTTAAATAACTAGGGCATTGGTATGCATAGTGTCCGATTCCATTACAGTTATAGCACGTAAAGTTGGATGAATTTGGTTTTGGAAATTTACGATATTGGCTCTGATTGGAGCGTTCATGTGCATGATAATTGTTTGATTTACCTCGATTATTCAAAGTTTTTCGAATTGAATGAACATTTGACGGAATATTTTGATTAATTGATGTACGACGAAGAGCAGCTGTTGTCTCGTCCATAAGTTCATTGGTGATTGTTGATGTCTGTTCTGATGATGGTGAACTTACTGTTGCAGCAGCTTCGGCTCGTTTTGCATGTTCGAATAAATCTTTGCATGTCTTAGGATCACTCATTATGACATGCTGTTGTATGGATGGTTTTAAACCACGAAGTAGATATAATATTTTTTCGTCTTCCATCATGTTCGAATTAAAACGAGCACATAATGCTAGAATATCGTAGTAATACGATTGAACTGACTCGTCGTTACCTTGGCGTCGATTCATCAATTTAGTCGAAACCTTTAATTTATGTACAGACGATGTAAATGAGTTAATGAATTGTTGCTTGAATTCATCATAGTCACTGCTAAGTGTCTCGCTACGATACCACTTCTTGACATCATCGCCAAAATACATGGGGAGTAAACGTCGTCGATCATTATTATCAACTTTCGTAGCATCAAACAATTCCTCGACACTTTGAATCCATGTCATCGGATCTTGTTCGTCCCCAGCTGTAAATAATTCAATTGGCTGAATACCCTTAAGTAGTATTTGCGTTGACAAGTTGGATGCCATATTATCTTGCAGTTGTTTCTGTTGACGTTCAACTCGTTTGGCTTCTAGTTGTTCTTCGTACAGTCGACGATTTGCTTGAGCTTGTTCTTCGGAGGTGTTACGTGTAGCGACCAGTTTGATAGTTTAGTTGCTTACCAATATCTGACGTTGTTTGTGATGTTGAATTGACAAACAGTTGGCTAGTGCACCAATGTAAAAGGTTGTCAACCACTAACCAGTTGCAAGTTAGAGAGAAAGCTATGTTAACGTGTATGTACAATCCGGTTTATTGTTGAGAACAGAGGGGTATATATATACTTGGGTTTAAAACAAAAGGAATATACTAGAAGTTCCAGAACTCTCACGAGAGTACTACTGAGAACAATAGAGAGAAAAGAATACGCTGGAATATACTAGAACAGTGAACATATATCCATTCACGCATAACGACAGAACGAAAGAAGATATACATGGAATATACATATATATGATGACGTCACAACGATGACAGAAAGAAAGAGATAATACCTGAGAGCTGACGCCATCTAACACATCACCCTCACTGAAGCTCTGCCATCCAGGATTCTTCGAAGTATCTGAGCTTAAATCCTGCTGCCATTACATGTCTTGAAAAACCATTTCGAATCTTTGGTCTTTTATTTTTTAAATTCACTTTTGGAAAACAATCGACTCCGTATCTTAATATAGTTGGAGAACTGAGATATCTTGAAAAAGCAACATCTTTTGCCATGAATACCGAGAGAGTGTTTATATTCTAAAAAGGCGATCAATAGACTTGTTACTAACCCAAACACCATTCCCTGGAAAGGACTACAAGAAGTTATTACGTTGAGGAGAACAAAACAATTCTATGCATAAATATCTAGATCTTTTAGACGTTTAATTACATTTTGACTACGTTGCTTTAGGAACTTTCGCTACATCTTTTATTTAATGAGTAGTTATAAAGCCTACATTTATAGCTCATGTTAAACATCAGGAAGAAAGAATGAAGCGATGCGGTAGGCCTCTTAGTTTCCTAATTTCAGTTGAAAATACACTCTCAATCTTTTTCTATAGTAAAATTGAAATTTAATAGGAATTTGTGCGTTTTCAGAGGGATCTTTTGAAGAAGAGTCTCAGTGTAGGGTCTAGGATTTTGGAAAAGAGGAGCGAATCATGGGTAAGGATGAGCGATTTCAGCTAAAAACCATTTTTCAAAGTCAGCCAAACTTCAAAAGGTTAAGTTGTACTTGTTTTAGATATTTAACAGTTTGAATAAAATGTTATTTTCGAAAAATTTAATAACTTTCTATTTGTTAATGACTATAATAACATTTAACGATGCTAAATCAAATCTACCACCCGGTTGTAGTTGCTACAATGGCACTGACGGCATTTTTCCTCGAAGCTGTTATATTCCTGGCTGTAGTCGTGGTAATAATAATGGTTGCAATTCTTTGAATGTCCTGATTGGCAACAACTATCGTATTCAATTTGATAGCGGTACCAATATTGTTCATGGTTGTAATTGTCCCAACTTTAGTTACAACAATGGTACGAGTACTGGTGACAATGGTGTTTCTACTAATACAGTTGATACTCCTATAAGTACTTATTATCAATATACTAATTGCAATAATATTGATGTTAGTCCTAATGCTGTTGCTTGTTGCAATTTTTGTTGCACGTTATCGAAAACGGCTACGAGTAAATAGTACAACAACAAATACGGTAAGTCTTACGTGGGAACCACTCGAGCTATCCAAAGATTCCTCCAGCCCCCGATACGTTGGTTCAATAGGGCATAGCTGGAAGTGATATGGCCAAACTCGATGCATGTGGAAGTGAAAATCTGGCGAAGATACACAATTTTAACTAGAATTTGCTTCCAGAACTGCAACGTACACATAAGATCAGAATTTTAAGCTTTCATATGAGTAAAGTCTCATATCAAAATTCAAAGCATTAATTTTATGAGGAAGTTACTATTCAATAAACAAATTCTAATAAAATATTGATATCTTGACCAGATCTCCATTTTCGCATTAGGTATGAACCAAGATTGGTCATATCACTTCTAACTATGCACTATCGAACCACCATATCATGGATCGAATAGTTTTTCGATAACTCGGGCAGTCCTTTTTCCTGGTTAATTATATAATCACAAAAGACAACATCAATGAGATACAACTGTATCATTGCCTTAAGCTATACTTATGATTATGAATGTTTTTTCGTTTGGTTATTGCAGAAAAGTACTTATCGGAATCAGTTTAACATAGTTATGTGAATTCGATATTATAATAGTTAATCATTGAATAGCAATACAGTGGTAAAATAATTTATTTTATTTTTCTATTTTAGGTATTCTAAAAAATATCAATCACTGCTCAATATTTTTGAATGATTTAATAAAAATGAAAAACCACTTTTTTATTCCAATGGAATTTTTTAAAAAACTACTTAACATTATTGGACTTCTCGATCGTGAGCTCAAGTCAAGCCAAATGCCTGAAAAAATATTTGACTGGAATTAGGGTGGGGTGAGCTCAGCTAGCGAAGATGTATTCCGATCTTGCTCAAGAGTCTCTTCAGTTGGCTTTAACTCTTCTAGAGTAATTCAAATGAATAAATAATCGTCAGGAAAATAGAATAGTCTGAGCTAGTGTTTTGAGATATTAGGGAAGACATGTATCGGTTAGTCTTGGGTAAATGTGTGATTTAGTTTACTTTCATTTGGAGATGTCCTTTCGACTTATGTTTCGGGTAAAATAACAGTACACTCTAAAAAAAATAAGTTTCCTACGATACTCCCAAAAAAAAA